ACAGCCTCAGTGGTACCCGTCTGGGGGTGCTACCCTCTTCACTGCCGACGCCTGTAGCGACGACGACCAGCCCCGTTCGGAATGTCATGAAAGTCTTTGCAGCAGACGATGCGCTTCGGGGCTGATTTCAACTCGGTCCATGCGTTGCAAAGCGGCACCCAGCCGGTGCCAAGAGAGGCCGACATCTAAAGTTCTTACACCTTGCACCTCCTCCAGTCCCAACCAATGCTACCTCCAGCCCAGGTTTTCAGTCCACCAGTCCCGACAAGAAGGAGATGCTCAAGTCTCTTCAAAAAGAAATTTCACCATCACGATGGTCATAACACTCGCAGTCTTTGTCTTCATGACCACAATCACCATCATCGTCGTCGGCCTATGTTAGCCGCAGCGGCAGCGCCAACGCCCCCGCTGCTGTCACCACCAGCATCATGATCACATCATCCAACGAAGGCTCTCATGCCACAAAACAGAAGCAGCGCGACAATGACTGCGGTCTGAGGTGCTGACATATTCCGCGAAAGTCACACAGCTCACATGAAGATGTAAAGCCATGTCGGCCTGCTTCACCCATCCAGAGTGTGTGATGGAATTCGTGCCGCCAGCACTGGGCCTCCAAGCCGGAAGAGCCTTCCAGATAGCCGCTTCCCCGGCCCCTCAGGCGAACCTGCTGCATCTAAACCCCACTCCGAGCGTGGGCGTGCTCCCGTGTTTGGGATCCACAAGCTCTCTAGCGCAAGGCAATCAACCGCACTCTGCCAGGCCTTGGCATTGCATTCGTCTGCAATGCTGCGCATGTTGCACCCGCCCTGCTGCAAATGAAGAGGCTCGCATCTACGTCTACGTGGTCTAGTCCATCGAGTCCTATGTGGTAGAAATATCATTGAATTCTTGCAGGCTGTATTTGCCAACCCGAAGCTCATAAGAGACCGACCGTTTGCCTTGCCAAGAATCCTCTTGACCAAGCAAAACTCATCATCGTCTTCCAAACCTGGGGCCGGCAGCAAGTTGGCATGTGGGAGTTTCCAAAAATTAGGGTACCCTATTTTGGGGTCCTTATAATAAGGATCCTACTATTTAGGGTACTATATTAGGGTCCCCTATTTTCTGAAACCCCCATGTATACTTCCTACTAGTACGTGTTATTACCGCGAATAGTCCCATCATCCCAGTGGGATTATTTTTCAAGCATCGACATGAAGTTTTCGGCTCGATATAAATAAAATATTCAGACCGTGAGCATAAGCATCAATACTAGTATTGTTGTGATTGCTATTGCGTTTACGATGATCCATGCAATCACTACTATCATGAGCATCATTACGACAACTCCCAAATTCTCAAAGCCAGCCCTAAGCAGCCGCGTTATGTGGCAGCTTGGCTCAAAGGACCTGAAGCCCGCGCCGACTCGGAAGGCGCAAATGTACTTCATGTTCTCACCTGGTAAGTGGTTGACTGTTGAAGGTAGTTTTTGCACTCCGGGTTTACGGACTCGCAACTCGGACTCAGCCAGACGAGGGGTTTACGCTCTCGCAACTCGGACTCTGCCAGACGAGGTCTCTGTGTCCAACTACGCCAATCTGACTAACTTCGAAGCGGCAATCACTTCTACACCACCAAAGATAACCTAAATGCGCCAGAAAACCCTCACAGGGCCAAATGGACTGAAGAGAACAGATCGCCAGTGATTGCTATGAGCAGTTCGTTGACTGCTGCCGGCATCCAGCAGAAGCCGTTTGGGCCGTCATCTAGCACTATAGGTAAAGATACCCAGGGAACGACCGAAGCAAAGTCCAACGGGGTGCAAAGGACTCTACTCTGAAAAGGGGGGTCGTGAAACACTCTCCCACAGGGAAACTTACCTGACGGGCCAGTAGCCATAAGGAAGTGGGATAGCATCCCGACACTACCCGAGTCATTCCTCCGGTCAGGTTCTCAGAAGCATACCCCAATTAATCGTCGTCTCATGCGATACAGGGCTTTGTCCTCCGTCACCCGTCCAAGTCCAATGACATCAAGACTAGTGCAGCAGTGAGTAGAAACTGTGTAGTCACGCAGTGATGCTTGTCAAGCCTTGTATATCTCCCTCTGGCCGGATCCATCCTCTGCCGACGACCTTCATGCTTGGCGAAAGGAAGAGCAACCGGTAACTCACGCACCGTGCCGCTTGCGAGACGGCAGCCAATGAGACTGTGGGAGGCTGCGATACTATCCGGAAGCTGAAAGCTGTGCCAGGGACCTCCTGCCAGCGACAGCGCCGCTGGCTCCGCCTGACAGGCACAGGACACGTGGCTGCAGACTTCGCTTTTTGCCTGCTGATCTGTCTCAAAGGCCTGTAAGCTTGAAGCTCCCAGGCCTCCAGCCACGAAGGCAAGTCAACGATATCCCGGGAGTGATACTTGCAGGCAAATGACTCGGATGAGGCAGATCTCCGAAGGAAGCGCTTCTTCCTCATCACCGTGCCTGAGAAACTATGGCACTTCCTGCAATTTCCTGACTCCAGAGGGCCGTGCCTGGGGCGCGGCCCGCAGAACACAAGCTTCGAGAGGATGTCATAACCATCAGCATCCTCCGGAACGCTTTGTTTGTCACGATCTTCCGCACTCTTACAACCAAAGCTTGTCGGCCCAAAGGGTCCTCCAGCAGTTGGCTAAGTGGAAGCGTGCGAGAGAAAAACGCCTCATTGCTGGTCGGGTTTCTAACGCGGCTTGTTGCAGGCAAACACATGGACGCGCCTGACGTCCTGTGATGCCTGCACTGCAGTCCCACAGCAGAAGCAACATCTCGCCACAGGATGTCACAGGCAAGAGCCTTCCTCAAAGCCAGGTTCGCTCAACCTGAGCTCCAGAAACGGTTGGGACGGGTTAGTGTCGCGCAAGCCGAAGATCACAAGATCTCAATGAGACGCCGACAGCTCAAAGCTCTCCTCTTCCGGTGGCGCACGTGCGAAGTTGAGCAACTTGGCGGCGTCAGCCCTGGCGGCCTCTGCCTTGGCCCAGGCATAGGAAAGAGGAGCCTGCAGTAGAGAGAAGCGCGGCATCTTTCGAAGCTCAGAGTCCCCGCCACCTCCTCCGCTGTTTGCGCAGGGTTCGTTGGACTCAGAGACCCTGAAGCCTCGCGCTGACTCCCTGCTTCTGCACATGCTACCCAACGAGGAGCATCCCCAGCCCTTTCCCGGCCTCCGGGTCCGTCATGGCTACTCAGATGAGCAGAATTTCTGGAGGTCACTGGGGGGATGCCGGAAGATCCAAAACAGAGCCCAAAAGCAGCAGCAGTCACAGAACGGAGCCGTTCACTGAGGTCACATGCTAGGTGCCACACTCCAGACCAATGCAGAGCACTGCAAGAAACGCTGCTTGTGCCACACGCATGCTCATCTTTTCTCCGTTCATGGGCCTGCCTCTTCGATTCAGTGTGTCTATCAGACCCAGCTCGGGTTGTCAAGCTGCTTACACTACCTACGCTGAAAAGGCGCAGCTTGAAGATTCCTGGGGAATGCGCGGCAATAATCGCCTGCTCTCCACCTCTGCGTGGGCCGCCGAAGTGGAGCTACAGGTATTGAGGAGTTAGGCTGGATAGGCTTCTCTTGTAGAACTTCCGACGGGTCTTGAGGCCGGCTGTTGCAGCGCCCAGTAACACCTTTGCTGCGTACTGCTGTGACCAATGCCGGTCTTTTGCATCCATGCAGTTAAAAAACCTGCAGCTTGCATTGCCGCATGCATATGTGACAGGTAGAGTTGCTATACTGTGCGCGTCTATGTGTGTAGCCCGAGTGCGCCTCAGGGCGCCACACGGCAGAGAAGGCTTACATGTTCGGCTCTGTCTGTGTGCCGGGGGACGGGCGGGTAGATGGAAGATATAGATGAATCTGTATCTACTGATCACTGCGTATATATGTCATACATGTACAAAGATTTTCAACCCCGAGCTCAACCCTGACATGCCAGGACGAGCAGGATTTAGCTATAAGACTCGTGCGTACTTCAGCCCAGCCCGTGACGTGCAGAAACTGCCGCTCCACACGACAGCGGCCACACATAAATAAGTTTGCATCATGTATGGGCAGTTACGCCTCATTGTGAATAAAGACAAGTATGCATCTACGTATATGTGTGTATAGATTTACATGCAATTACCAACACACGTGACCTGTGTATGTGCAAGCAGGTAGATAGATAGATAGATAGATGGATGGATGGATGGATGGATGGATGGATGGATGGATGGATGGATGGAGAGATAGATGGATTAGGTGGATAGATGGATAGATAAACTAGGTAGAGAGAAATAAAGAGACAGACTGATAGATAGTTAAGTACGAGTAGAGTAGCCAGGTATTTAGGCAGATAGACAAACACGTAGACAAATCAATGAGTACGTGGGTAGATGGGTAGAAAGGTAGGTGTACGGTTAGACAGGTAGCTAGATACATAGCATGATAGAATGATAAATGGATAGACAGACAGACAGGAAGATAGACTGACATACTGCATCTAACCGCCTCGCATGCTCGTGCAAGCTGTATTCGGGGGACCAGGCAGCAAGTCAGGTCACACCCACTCGGTGTTTTACAGGAAGGTGTCTGTGAAGATCGAATTCATGCTAAGCAGGACGATGCGCCAATGTGGCCGTGACGCTGGCAGTCTGCGCCATACACACCACGGCCGAGGCTGCATCAGTCAGCTTGTCAATACAGACTACAGGGAGTACGACGCACACTGCAGACTCCGATTTCATGGAATTCGACGGCTTGCAACGACCTGGTCAGGGAGCTTGTGCAACTGATCGAAGAGTTCAATGAGTGTTGAAGCACCGAGACCCCGGCTTCCTTATGCATGCACTCACGAAGCATCCCCTCTCTTTGCAAAGGTGCTTTCCTGAACTTGGCGAGTGGACTCTGGATTTCGCAATTGATCGTTTCACTTTCTGGGGCCCCTGCTTTCGGAGAGCAGGGCTAGGGCTCTTTCTGCTCGGAGTTTCCGCCCGCTTCTGAGGAAAACGTGCTACTCCCTGGGCTGCATTTCCGAGGCTGGATGGTCAGGTGAATCACGTAGACGTAGGGCTTGCATCAGGGAAGCAGCCCATCCGGCTTCTGCAGACAGCTGCCAAGGCAAGCAGGAATCTTGCACTGCTTTCCGTATCGGCCCCTGCGCAAGTGCAGGCCAGTGCTCTTGTGATTCCAAATCCTGTAGTGCGGCTTTCGTCGACCACGGTTCTGGGCTGGCACACACGCTGGCCGCCGAGAAGCACGATCCGGATCCGGAGTCAGGAGAAGCGACCCACGCGAGATCTGCTGTAGCTGTTGTCGACACCGGAGATGCTGGCTCAGGGTTGGAAGAAAGGGTCCTCGGAGTCTTCGACTTGCCGTTTGTCATCGTTACAACCGGCTCTTGCACGATGCCAACGACCTGCCGCAACAGCTGCGGCACCTCCTCCGAACAGGAAGTCGCCTGTGCCTCTGGCAAGCTTCCTCCACTGCCACTGGGCTCAGCATCTGTTTCAGAACCACGTCGTGCATCTGCGTGGGACGTCTCAGGCTCGCTGGTCATGGTGCCCTTGCCCTTGCCTGCACCATTGCTCTTGTAGCTGGCTTCGCCCGCGCTCGTCGCCTTACCTTTGCCCTTACCTATTCGATGTTCCCAGCCACCAACACCTTTGTCCCTAGGCAGATCCTTACCTCTTCCCGTGGCCTTTCCCTTCTCCTTGCCCTTGGCCCGCTCCTGTCTCATTCCCTTCTCCTTGCCTTTCGCCTGCCCCTCTTTCCTTCCCTTGTCCTTGCCCTTCTCCTCGCCTTTGCCCCTGGCCTTGCCGTTGACTTCGCACGGGACTCTGGCCTTTCTCTTGCCCAAGCCGCTGACTGGGTATATATCAGCATGTACGCAGATCAAATAACTTCCGCCTGCTGAGCAATCGGAAGACGACTTGTCCCGTATGGTCACGCATGCACCAGCTGTGCTTTCTACGAACATGCATGCCGTACTGACGGGACAACAGCCAATCGAAATCGGACAATGGCAGCCTATGACAGTCGTGTTTGCCTGATGCATCGGGCGGCAAGTCAGAGTTGGCAGCGACTGCCCCGGTTGGTGGCCCTTTGCTTTGCAGCTCCTGCACCGGGTCTCGGAATTCAGTTGGTCAGGTCGCATCACGACTGCAAAAGCGGCTTTGCCAGGTTGTTTTTGTGCCGAGCAACCGAGAAGCAAACGATGCCTTGCCTGGATCTGCTCAAGCAGAAGTGTCTGGTTCAGGCTCCGCAGCTCTTGTTCTGCACCTGATCCAGCAGCCAGAGCCTGCTGGCCCTATTTGCACATGTCGTGCATGAATGCGTTCCGGCCCGTCACATGAAAACTGGGTTTCAGGCTGTCTGCTGTAGAATCAACAGCTTGCTGACGACCACCAGATTCAGTACCACCTAGCTTTCCATGCTCTCTGGAATCATGTTTATCCTTCGGGCCTTGGTATTGGTTTCTGCAAGAAGTGTCGAAGGTTTGCTGGACGTCGTAAAAAACGAAGCGATCGACTCCTGTTCTTGGAGTAGGACTGAGTAGGAACTGCGTTCAGTGCCCCGACTGAAAAAGATTCCCTCAACCAGCGGAACATCCGCGCTTGAGACTATCACATGCATGCGTCCTTCGACATTCGAGACGAAAAAACAACAAGGCCTACCCAATATCTTCAGGAAGCAGAAAAAAGCTTGAAAGAGCCCCAACATCGGCCTGCATCTGAGCAAGGTTCTGGTAAACCAGCCAGCAAGTCAATAAGCCTGCCCAGCTGACATAGAGATATGCCTCAAGCTGGCTATTGACGCATTTTACTCCGGCCTCAGCATCTGAGGTTCATCACCACTACCTCTGCCAAGAGACCATGCGCAAATCTCCACCTACTGGCTACGCTCGTGCCTCATTTGTGAAACTAACGGCCTACTCCCTGAGCTCTGAACTTTCTTCCGGCCCGGCTGCCTTCGGCTTAGGGGCCTCGCACTTTAGTAGTAGCAGCAGCAGCAGCAGCAGTTGTCGTTGTCGTTGTCGTTGTTGTTGCTGTTGTTGTTTCTTGGTAATTCACAGTCGTCGCAATCTTAGAAATCGCAGTAGCAGCCGTAGTTACACACATAGTCGTAGTAGTGGTAGTCGTCGTCGTCGTCGTCGTAGCAGCAGGAGGAGGAGGAAACAGATCAGCCACTGGTCGTCACATGGTAGCAGCAGTCGGCGTGAGCAACCGACATCGGCAATGTAAACATCCGCAAGAATCGTACCAGGCAGGACGAGGCTGCGGCGCCACAGGGAGATGCAATCGGCTTCCAGAGTTGAGAGACAGGAGGAGCCTCAATTGCTCTCGTTCTCGTTACCACTCGTTACCATCGCTGCCATGCATATCTTTGAAGTCCTAACAGTTTTTAACAAGAACAACGGTATGTATCCATATCTGTCCCGCTTCTACGACTACTACTACGACGACTACCACGACTACGACTACGACTACGACTACGGCTACGACGACGACGACGACGACGACGACGCTTTCAGATAGCATTCAGGACTTATATAAGGAAATCATAATAGGGAGCCCTCAAAAGGTAGGTTCTTCAGGGTACAGGAAAGACCAAGCCCACAAGCCCGGATTGAACCATCACCCCAAACCTTCAACACAATCGGATCTTGACCCCAAGCCCTGAACCAAACACTCCAGACCCGGAACCCTGCACCCAAACCCTGAACCCTGAACTCTACACCGAAAAATAGACCCACCCTACACCCTAAATCATGAACCGAAAGCCTGAACGAGAAGCCTTGAACCCTAAACCCTATTGTTGTCGGAACAACAGTGGCAGCCCNNCTACTACTACTACTACTAATACTAACTATTACTAACTACTACTAACTACTAACTACTACTAACTGCTACTAACTACTACTAACTACTACTAACTACTACGAACTACTACTAACTACTACTAACTACTACTAACTACTACTAACTACTACTAACTACTGCTAACTACTGCTAACTACTACTACTACTACTACTACTACTACTACGACGACGACGACGACGACGACGACGACGACGACGACGACCTCCTACTACTGCAAGTACAGCAACAGCCATTGCTACTGCTACCACTACGTCTACTACTACTACTACTACTACTTCTACTTCTGCTACTGCTACGACTACCACTGCCATTACTACCACTACCACCATTACTACCAACACCAACACCACCACGACCACCACGACTACGAGGACGACGACGACTACTACTACTACTACTACTACTACTGCTAATGCTACTGCTACTGCTACTGTGACGGCGACTACCAGACTACCACTTCCACCTCTACTATAAGTCTCTACTATGGCTACTGCTGCTGCTGCTACGACGACTACTACTGGTTTGGCTGCGACTACGCCTACGACTTCTACAACGACGACGACGACGACTACTATCACTGACACTGCCACTGCCGCTGCCGCTGCTGCTGCCACTACGACGACGACGACTACTACTACAACGACTACTACTACGACGACGACGACTACTACTACTACTACTACTGCGACTACTACGTCTACGACTACTACTACTACTACTACTGCCACTACGACGACGACGACTACTACTACCACTACTACCACTACTACCACTACTACCAGTACCACTAATCACTACCACTACCGCTACCGCTACGGCTACTGCTACTGCTGCTGCTACAAGTGTGGCTAATGCTACTGCTACCCGCACTAACACTATCACTTCCACTACCACAACCAGCACCACCACTACCGCTACCGTGTCTCTGGCGGAAAGTCGCAGCTTCAGGCTGAGGCTGAGGCTGGGAGCCAGAAGAGAAGATCCGGTCGTCGGACTTCATGGAAGCAAAGAGACACCTCGGGCTTAGGGATCGTCGGCTTTGGCGATTTTGCGAAAGATTTGAGGGAATACAAAATCTTCACTGCTTCTCGGCTTTCTGGATGCCACAAGCTGAGATGGGATCTGATGTTTCCATGCCGGTGGATCGGCAATAGCGCCTGCATCGACACCATTAAACCATTTCAGGTTCACGTGGTCTAAACTTCTCCGATCTCTCGCGCCTATAGTGCTTGTATAGCTCTCGGAGCAGGGCGGCTACCTGATGGTATACAGCATGTGACCACGTCTCTGCCAACAATCTCGAAGGATCTGCTGCACACATGGCAATGCACAGATTTAGATCAACACCTCATCCACGGCAGCCACCTGCTCAGCAGAAGCAACATGAACAGGACGCACGGTGGCATGATCAAACACAGATTCGAAATTAGCAGCAACATCAACACAGCCACGGTCAATGCGCCACCCCTCGCCACACTGTGATGCAAGAATCTTATCGGCGTGTCCAGTCAACAACCCAACTCTGCACGATGTGGCGGCATGCATTCTCTGCACAGGGAATCGGAAAATTGCAGACTCTGTGCTATGGAGAACAGAATGCTGCTTCGGAAGCAGCTGGCAACCAGCTGTCCTAGCTCAGTATTAATGAAGAATTTGTCTGGGAACCTAGCTTCCAGCAACCAAGTCGACGTGAGCAGCACCACAGAACCCAACAACAAGTCTACACGTAGCAGAATACAATGACAAAAAACATTTTTAATACCAACGGCAACCACCGAAAGCGCAACGACAACCACCACCCCACAATCACAACAACCGTTTTTTCAACTGAATGTTTGGGCAAGAGCTGACTTTGCGCTTGGCGGCCGCACATTTGAGACATGAAGTCCAGCGCCGCCGAAGAGGCCAAAGCTGTCTACAGACTCAGAGACGGACAATGGATCGCCCACGCGAGCCAATGCGCTAACAATTAGTAAGAATTTAGAACAAACTAAGGCCACGTCCTGGCACCTCCGTTATGCCGCTTCAGGAGAGCAGTCTGAGCACCAGAGAGTTTGAAAGCGAGTCGGGCAGGAAAAAAGTTCCGACCCCTCACCGCTGCTCCGTTCAGCCCGCAGAAGGTGGGAAACCCTACCACTCACCGCTTACCACCAAGAAGCGCGATATCGAACAGGAGGCCCGCGGCTCAGGCAGCATTGGCTCAGGCAGGACGCGAGAGCTTTACCAATCGAGCAAGGGCGTGTTCAGAGCCTTTGGCAGCTACTATAGCAGCAAGTCGGAACTTTGTCGGCCGTAACGGCTGGCTGCGACAAAAGCAAAGGTACAGTAGAGGCTGTCGCTTGCTTCGACGCCTCGGAAGGTGTGAACACTGGGCTGTCGCGCGACGAGGGCTTTTGCAGCTTAGTTTAGCTTTTGCTGCTTTGCTGACATTATCTTGGCTTGCTTTGCGCCGGAAAGCCCGAAGCCACTTGAGTGGAAGAGACGTCGTTTGATGCAACAAACCGAACAAAGGCATGCACAGCAGCAGCAGCAGCAGCACAACATCAGCAGCAACAGCAAAAACCAGCACAAGCACTACAAGTAGCACCGGCCCCGCGACCACCCCCGCCCTCCCCCGCACCCCCACCACAACCACCACACCAGAAATGGAAAGGCAGCCATGACAGCGACACACCGTGCTACATTAAACACATGCTTGAAGTTGTGTTGCAATGTACATAACTATCACCCGCCCTTTCGTCCGGCCGTGAACAACGTTGTTTCCACGGCCTGGGTTTTACACCTCGAGCGCAATCCACCACAGTCATTGTGAGCACAAGACCTCATAACTCACATGGTTTTGTACTCACGAAGACCATGACCTACGGGATACCATGAGGACCGAAATGCGCCCACGCGAGAAACCCAAAGGACTTTTTGAGATATGACACCGACAACTCGTTTCAATTAACGACATGTTCGCAGGGTCGGAGAACGACTGCAAAGAACGGACCTCTACCTTACCTTTCAAATTTCGCGACTGCGACGAAGAAACACCTCGCACCACCCACCACCCACCACCATCACCACCAACGACCACCCACCACCGCTAGCGCGACCAACCTCGTCCCACACCACCAACAGAAAGGGGTAGCAGATACATCCGTTGCCACAGACCCAACGACCTGCACGTTCCGAAACATTGACGCTGAGGCGTTCGCGTAGTTTGAAAAGCAAGTGCAGATAATGTCTATCTGCAATGGGATGTCGGCCTGCAAGTTCCAAGAAGCATCTAATGGTTTTCTGGCTGTCGAGCACACCTCTTCACCGCATTCCAGGAAAGAGCTGCCCCTGCCGCGCAGGCGAACCTGCCGGACACCCCGTCATCAACATGCGTCACCTTTCAGTATGTTTCGTCGGCCTTGGCATTGCATTCAGAGCTGATGCTCCTCATGTTCCATCCATCCTGCCCGAACTGCCCAAACATTCAAAACCAGACAGCCCCACCGCCGGCAACATCCAACGACCTTGCCAATGATTCTGTTCACCACTTTGAAGGTGTGGTCGCCCTCAATGCCTTAGCAGGTTCTCAATCTCTTTGCAACTACACCTCGGCATGGGCCCGCCGACTCGTCAGGATCTTGCTCAAGCCCTAAGCCACTTCTGTAGCTGGAGCCCTCGCCCACAACGAAGAAGCCTTCGAAGATCTGGTACTCCCCTGCCAGCCAGTGTGTGGGCATGAAACAAATGGCAAGCAATGCGTGTGTCTGGGCCTTCTGCATCGCCCGGCGGCTGCACGAAGCAGTGCAACCCTCTTCGGGCGACCTGAAACTTGACGGACTCAGATCAGCTTCTGCGTAAGCTTTGGCTCGGCTGTTTGGTGGGGCCTGCTCCCGATGCACTCTGTACTTGTCTTTGCGAATCCTTCGCAACTGAAGGCTCAAAACGAAGATGAAGAAACAGATTTACAGCTGCAGATGGCTGCAGGCCTTGCTTCTTTACCTTGGAATGGGCCCAGCTCCCAGGCCTCGCACAGCACGGTCTCACCGTTTCGCAGTCTTTCATCTTATCAAGTTGCCGTGGGGGTCTATTCCCCTTACAGGCGAGGGACCTGGAGCAGATAGATCTCTGAAGCAACCGCTGCTTCGTCGTCCTCGGACCTCGCAAGCTCGGTAGTTGCGCAAGTAACCTGAAATGCTGTAAGTCTGGGGTCCCAGACTTGGGACACGGCCCGCAAAACGTGGCTTCGCTTTCGGAGTCCTCCTCCGCCAGTTCTGACCGGTCCATGCCTCCACTGCCTCTTCCTGCCTTTCGGGGTCCTCTAACACCTGGATGGCCGAAACTCTGCGAATGTGAACCTCGAAACAAGCCAGTGGCCATCATGTACACTAACCGAAGCTGTTCTTGCAGTGCCATCTTATATGCGTGTTGTTCAACTAGGGTCGCTGCCGCTGCCACCAAGCCATTCGAAAGGAAGCCCCTGCCTGCTGAAAGATCAGTGACGGACAAAACTACTTGGAGGATCATGGGACTTGGTAAGTATGGTTATAAGTCCCCTAATTGGGGTTATAAGTATAGTTACCTTAGTTATAACCCTACTTACTAAGTCCCATGATCCTTTAAGTACTTCCTCCATTGGTGGACCTTTAAGGCTGTGGCTGACACGGCGACCAGGAGCTTCATGGGATCTAAGTGTGAACGAAAGACACACAGCGCTGCGCCACGAGATCGCTTGAGCCCGAGGCTCTTCTGGAGACTTCGGGACATCTTGCAGGCCTCCGGCTCGGGCACAAAGAGCAAGCAAGCATGTCCAGGGCAGCTCTGGCCTCCAAACAAAGTCATGCCTCGTGCAAGCTCACTGGCTCCAGCCTCCAGCATCTTCCAAGATATGAGTCATGAGCATCATTGTCGTCCGTCTCCATGTCGATCTACTTGTCTTCAGCCGTCTTATCATTGTGATGGCTGTAGAGGGGGGGTGCGTGCCCGTGCCCAGGTGAGGCTCGACAGGACCTGTAGGCGCTGGACGGCCCAGCTCGGAGCGAGGGCAGCTGAGGCCTGCACACGCGTCACATCATGACCAGTGCATGGCTCACACACTTCCGCCCAAGCCGTCCCCACGCCAGCCTCCACGGGTTCGGCCGTAAAAAACATAGCTCAACAAGAGTCAACACTGAGCTGAGGGACGACGTGGGCAGGCAAGTTTGAGCAATGTGAAGACGACGCCCAAGTGCCACCAACTTACCACGCGTATCAGGTTACCTCTTTTCGCCGTCACAGCTGACCCGGCAAGCACAGCCTACGCGATGCTAGCTCTCCAAGCACAGCATGTGCCCACTGAAGCAGGGCTTTATTTCGTAGGGAGCTCTTTTGACAAAAACACCTGTCTGCCAAAAGCAATGCCCTTATCGCTTACAGGGCACTTTTACTGTGATATTGTCATTTGGTGCTTCTTCTCAGTGTATGCCCCACTGTAAGCCGCCTCTCTTGCTCCTATCTCAACGCCGAAGCGCTATACGTCGCGGCGACACTAAGTTGTGACCATGCGCATAAGCGGCTTCGGGATCAAAAGAATTTGGGCACTCTCACTTCTGCTGATTATTTTGTTCGGCAGGATGGCATGCGAAGGCCGGCTGTTTACATTTCTTTGGACTGACGAAGCAACCGAGCAGATCAGCCAAATTGCCCGACTCTTTCCGCGAGACCCAGACCGAAGATCGACGTGGCGACACTTGCCAATGGCTTCGTTCTTCAGGCTGAGGCAATCGCTGCTTGTTTTATGCGTTCTGCATTGGGCAACATGTCAAGCACACAAAAAACCTACACTTGTCAATGTGCTATTCAGTCACGCAGCGGTATATCGCAACCTGTGACAGATTACACCCGATCCCCGCTGCGCGGAGTGCGATTCCCCTGCGCACACACACACACACACAAACTCTAAAGGTGCAGTGCCACAGAGAGACAGAGAGAGAGAGAGAGTGAGTGGGTGAGTGATTGTGCATATGTATCTTGTATATATTTATATATACATATATATATATATATATAAGCATACTTTGTGCACATATCTGCTTGCATTGATACCTACAACTGGTTATACGCACTATCAGATGCATCATGCAGCTTTGTGTTATGCACTTGCATCTTAAGTCGGGCCACGTTTACCCTACAGTAGTCATAACCGACAGCGAACATGGAGACCCTGTTCGTGAGAGCGTATTTTTCTGGCCTTGAGATAACATGTGACAGGGGCAAAAGCCTCGCCCTGCTCCCAGTAAGGTAGGCATGTTTCTTCGACCTCATGCAAAGACTCCAGGCATGTTCGGACACACCTCACAGCACATGACCTTCAATCGTAGTCACGGCTGGCCGCTCAGAGGCAACTGCCGCGTATTGCAAAGACAAAGGCAAACTCAAAGTCAATGCCCGAAAATGGGCACTTGTGTGCTCAATTCTGCCTCACAGGCTGTCTGTTTGCACTACACTTTAAACGCATCCCTGAATGGCTCTCGGAGCTTATCCATGATTACCCTTGCTTGCTCAAGCCGTTTTGGTCCCGGACCAACTCAACGGAAAATCAACGAAACCGGCATGCTTTCTTTTATCTCCTTTTCAGCTCAGACGGCAAGGAGCACGCGAGGTGTCGTCGGCTCGCTCAGCTCAGGACCTGGAGGTGAGTTGGACCAGCAAGAGCATTCTGCCGAAGACTTGCTTGAATATTGCCGCCTACGATTATGTATTGTTATGCGCACACTTCCATCAATGTGTAGTCTATTTCTGCAAGTGCCCATACCTGAACTGTTGGACTATTGCATGCCGGCAGTAAGCCAGACAGGCAAAGAGATCTGCCTACAGGCATGCATACGAGTGAGTCGGCTCTCAAAACTCTGAAAGGTGCACCGGAACACACTGAGCCATGAAACATGCCACAACGAGCCGCCGAGCCAACCGCAAAGGAGGAAACCCTCATCTCTGGAGTACATCACATGCATAACAACACAGACCAAACAGAGGGAAACCCCTTCTTGGCTTGAATTTGCCAGAGCGCGACTGAGGGGACAGGAATGCTGCACATGGCTTAGGAAGAAAGGTAGCGTTGAGGTTGATTATTCAATCCGCCCGGTGGTAAGGCTCCTCAATATAAACTCCCAGCTGCCCCCAAAACCCTGCCCCCTTCCCTTGTCCCAAATATGCCAGCAGGCCCAGCACGCTCCCTCAAAACAACAACCTCGCTATTTAAAGAAGTCAGTCCCCGCCCCAACCCATAAGCTGCTCCAGCCCAGCTATGAACACCAGACCCTGTGCTCAGACTACACTAAGCCGTACATCCCGAACCCCTCAGCACCCTAGGAGAGGTGAAACCTCCAACAGCACGAGGCCCCAGCCGTCTCTCGTGGGCCATCAGTCCACTCCGGCCTTCTTCTCCTTTATCCAACGCATGCGAACAACCAGTAACTACTTGGTTACCGCATGTAAGCCATGTAACGGTGTACTAAGATGAATGCACACAGTTACAGTATGTTACAGTTACAGGGACATACAAACTGGATCGAGTGTCTTTTCCGCGGTTTCTGGCTTGTTTGGCGATTGTATTGCCTCCAGCCCGGCAAAATACTGTTCTGCGCGCAAGCTGTTTCTCAGGGGACTTGCTATTTGCAGGGTCTCAGCCTCAGCTGTGTCAAGGTTCCCCTTGTATTAGCGAAGGAATGTAAATGTATGCTCATTTAGATGTAGGTAGGCAGACAGAGAGCTTCCCTCCTTGTGCAACAGAGATACCTTCATAAACACAAACAGACAGGCTGACAAGCAGACAGACATCACAGGCAGGCTGGTACAGGCAGGCGCAGGCAGCACGAGATAGAGAGAGCGAGTGAAGATTCTGAAACGTCGCTGTTCGAAAGCCAGAAAGGGAGCACAGACGGCAAAAAGAACACACAGAAGACACGAGTGCAATCGCAAGAGCGTGATGCGGCAGGCCAGTCAAGCAGAAACTTGCCGAAGTGCACACTGGCACTGGCTGATGGCCTCCACGCATGCGGCCTGCGCGTCTCGCAACCACGGCCTCAGACTCGCACTCCTCCATCAAGGCCTTTGCACCTGCTCAAGTCCATGAACCTCAAATCATGCCACCGGTCTCCAGGATCAGAAGTCAATGCAGTCACAAAGAAAGCCTTGGCTCGGTAGGTGTACAGCAATCTGTCGTCGCTGTCCTTCACTCTCCAAACAATCCATAGCACCAAGTGTTGAATAATGGTGCGGAGAACATCCAATCATACAAAGAGCTGACACTGCGGCATATCTGAGCCATTCTTGAACAGTTGTGCAGTGTCCTGTCCTGGGCCGAAAGACCAAAGCCGTAGTGTGCCAGAGACTCTGCGGATACCTGAAAAGCACGTCTGCCCTTCTGGTGCGACTTGTGCTTCCTTCCTGTCCTTCCTATCATGGCAGGGTTTTTGACTCTCACAACTTGGGCAATCCGGGCTCTAGCATTGAGACCCTATCACGTTGGGTAGGGATCTGCAAGAAATGTTTCATTGACTACGTACTGCTTCATGCAGAAAACCTCATGCAGAAAACCTGAGCCAGGATTTCATGGATTTGGGTGCTTGTCCGTAAACCGGGCACCTCGAATACATCGTTCGCAGCATCGAAGAACACTGCATCCTGGCAGTGACAGCAGCCATGGATGTCGTGATGACATCAGATACTGTTCCTACAGCACTGAAATTGATCACCGTCATAATCAGACATGTACCGACAGCAATCGTATAACCGAAGCACACTAGCAACAAGGATATCGGTCACCGCAGCCAGGAGTGTGTAACATCTGCATTGGGCATGCTGAGTCTGAGGTTCATTGCACCAAGCCCTCGCACCGTGCACGCTAAAGCCCTGACATGACGGAACAAGAGGTGACTCGGCAACTGGAATTAAAGTGGTTCAAAAACTGGACTGCGGCGAGGGCCACCAACGTTTTCATGCCGGCACAGAAGGCTCCCACTTGCCGCTGTTGGGCAAGTCGGTAAAGATGCAAAGGACTCCGCTTGAGGATAGGAGTTTCTGGCAACCATCGGGCGTTGTATGATCATACACCGATATCCTAGCGATCTGAGTTGCGTGATTTTATGGCGGGTCGGTGGGCTTCGCTGTTTTGTGTCCACTGCCAGTTCATTATGTGTAGCATGTTTGCGCTCTAGTAAAATGTTTTCTACTACATGTTTTCGTGAGGTTCAACTGCTTCATCGGATTGACTTGTTTCCGGCTTCTGCATTATCTTGTTCATTACTTGCCCTTCTGTCCAACATTCCGGATTTGGTACGCTGTCCTCGGCTTCGTCAAGGCATCATAGGCTCTCCTAACGTTTGCTTTCCCAGGATCTGCTAGGGTCCACTGAATGCTCACAGATCTCCGCCGGCTGTTCATTAAATGTTCACCAGATTTTGCCCAGCGAAATACTAGTTCCTCACCCAGAATATTAAAGGATCACCTCAATGGTCGCCTAACCTGCCCTCCTGGAGACTATGCGAAAGGTTCCATGAACCAGCACGTCATTTGTGGTGTCTGGTCAGGGCCATCTGCGCAATCTTCGGCATCAGCTCAGGCCTCATCTGGCACATGTGAAAGGCAACTTGAAAGTAAGTGGGGCAATCATGACGTTTTAGGAATAATGGCCCCAATAAGCATCATAAACTTTTTAGTAGTGAACATGACTAGCACTGATAGTGGTAATCATGATGACAACGATGGTCATGAGAGTCCTAATGTTGCACTGGGCTTACTTAGGTGGCCCCCTATTGTATGTATATATATATATAATATGTATTATTTTTTGCCAGGGCTTTTTCAGGAGTTGGCATCGTATTGTTGGCTGTCCTCTGTAATGCTTGCGTTCTTCGCACAGCGTTGTCGTTTCTTTTCCCTTTTTGTTAATGCTCAGTCTTGACTGAGTAGAGGATGTTGAAGGGGCCACCTAAACCACCCTTAAACAGCTCTAGGTACCCCTGCGCCCTAAACCCGCCTATGGGGCCACTACTCCAGCAGCTCTCAAGCTCGGTCGATTGTGCGGAGACGGTGGCGGAGGAGTAGGATGTACGAAAAACGTCTTCAACATGAAGGGTACTACGTACTACGTCCTTCTACGACTACTACTACTACTACTACTACTACTACTACTACGACAACTACTACTACGACAACTACTACTACGACAACTACTACTACGACAACTACTACTACGACAACTACGACAACTACGACTACGACTACGACTACTACGACTACTACTACTACTACTACTACCACTACTACTACTACTACTACTACTACTACTACTACTGCTACTAATTACTACTACTACTACTACTACTACTACTACTACCTCTACTACTTCTACTTCTACTACTACTACTACTACTACTACTACTACTACTACGGCTACTACTACTACTACTACTACTACTACTACTACTACCACTACGGCTACTACTACTACTACTACTACTACTACTACTACTACGACAACAACAACTACTACTACTACTACTACTACTACTACTACAGGACTGTAGTACTCATGTACTACTACTGTACAATTATTGTACTACTGCTCTACTACTGCCGTACTACAACCGCGCTACGACTGTATTTCTACTGTACTCCTTTACGAACAACGTGCAGATTTGTCAAAGCCTATCTCCCTCGGCAGGGCCAGGATGCACCAACCCCGCATCCTTCTTCTGCACTAAACCCAGTGCAACCTGACTCATCATAGAGGTGATGGTAAGGGTAATAGATGGTAATAGCATGGCTGACTCTGACCGCCCTGGCACTTGCAGATCCTGGGGCCGATGCGTTCCTGTCGTCCAGGTCTGCAACTGAGCACAGCTGCTTCGTACAAGTGGCACAGGACAACCCACATGTTGGTTCTTGAAGTGCACGAGCGATGTCGGAATTGTCGCATTTAATGTGAGTCTACTTAGATTGTTGCAAGCACCTACCGAGCTCGGGTTGCTTTCTCCCGCTGTGCCATGTCTGCCCGAGCCTTGTAGTGGTTGTCGTGGATATGCCCCGAGTTTGCGCATGCAGCGAAGACCTTTGTCAAGAGATTTTGGGTGCAGTGGCATCCCTTTCTCTGGCGCACAGCCCCGTGGCTTAGACACCGAGCTGGGCAGCCGACTTCGCACAAGGAGCCACCCAGGGAATGGCCGGTGCAGCTCACCTGTGCGCGGAAATGCACATGGTGGGGAGACTGTCGCTTTACGGGCGTGCTTGGCTGTCAGCCCCAAGGTCTGGAAATCGCATGCTCTAACTTGCAGCTCGTGAGGCGTTGGGCTGCACCTTCACATGGAAACCCGAACGCATCAGCACTCCAACGAAGACGGGCATGCTAGTATGGAGACTCGAGAAATCCCATGCCTCTGAGTCCCTCGAAGGTTTCTTAAAGATAGTGCTGCTCCGGCACTCTGCCTTGGAAATCCCTTAGCTCACGCTAAGCCCGGCCTTGTTGCACTTGGCAAGGTTCGGTCGCAACTTGGGCATGCTGTACTTCATGAGCCAGTACAACTTGTCGGCATAGCCCGTGTGCACGCCCGGGAGCCCACAATACCCCTTCTCCTTTTCTTCGCCCTTTAAGTTGCCAAAGAACTCCTGAAAGGAGTGGGTGCCCTCGAAGGCGATAACGCAATCCAGGCTCTCCGTGTTCTGGACGAGCCAGATGTTGTCAACAGCTTCAAGCGTGTCCTGCTGTGTTTGCGCCACGAGATTCCAGCCGGGCACGTCGTGGGCGATGATTTGCTCCATTGTCACATCCTGGCCCGTAACCCAGGACTTCTGCTTTTCGTAGGCTCCCCAAGCCAAATAGGCGAAGTGGTGGGCAAAATTGAAAGGCTTGTTCTGCGCTACGTTTTGGCCATGAAGCTGCAAATGGGCGAGGCGCTCAATGTAGTTCTTCATGTCATGGAGGGCGATGTTAGCCGTCCGGCCCTGATCCACATGCTTGGGCAGGTCTGGCCGTCCCGCTCCCGGCCAATACCTCGGCACGTCAAAGCCAACCCTGTCTTAGACTGGAGAGGCTCGACAGGATCATAGAAACGATCAAGAACATGCGCCTGCCATTGATATTGGCAACTTCTTTTCGGCAGGCGTTTGCCATCTTTTGACATGGCGACTACATTCGCCCGAACATGCTAGCTGCTAGCATGCATACCCACGCACAATTGCAAGAAAAGACACTGCCTGTCTTCGCAGCTGAGCTACTCGGAATCCTTCTTCTTATGCAGCGCCAACGTGGGCACCCGTGGATGGCTGAGTCCCATGAAGATCGCCGCAATATCTGTCTGCCGCAATGAGCCGCTCAGGATCGTCTCACTGTAGCAGCGAACTCCTCGGAAGTTCCCGCTCGGCGTGGAACGATCTGCCAAAGGTGTTTTGCTGATTGCCACTGCACCATAGGTGTAGACAGCATACCTGCATAGGCAAACTGACCAAAGAAATGGGGGTTTCCGAAAATAGGGGACCCTAATACTAATATAGTACTCTAAATAATAGGATCCTTATTATAAGGACCCCAGAATAAGGTACCCCTAATTTTCGGAAACTCCCAGATGGCTACAGAAAGCTTCTGGGCTGTTTTTTGCCGAGATGCACCAGTCCCGGCTGTCCTGCCGACACGTTGGCCTCGGTAGCTCTCGGTAGCTGAACAGCCGAGGATCTCGGGCTTCGGCTGTCGGAGTCAGATGTGGGTAGTTCTCTACATTAGGGTCCGTTTTTAGGTCCCCAACATAGTACGGCACCCTTATAAAACGGACCCCCAAAGGGACCCTAATTTAGAGAAGTACCCATGTGCACAAGTTGAACGACATGAACAAGCAGGGCATCGTGGAAGTGTTCAGCTGCTGCTCGCCACCACCATGACCACAGGGTGCAGATGCTCGACATGCAAAGATTAGCTCGAATACAGGAAGTATCAATAGATTTTTTTTGCTTCGGGACTCCATGGATTTAGATCAACACATTGATAAGGTGGCCACCGCTCTGGCCCAGCAAGGCTTCATCAGGAAAATATGTGGACGCCGAAAACCAAATCAAATAGGACAACCCCCAAAAACGGCTGCTACTGCCACTGCGACTGCGACTGCGACTGCGACTACCACTACTACTACTTCTGCTACTACCACTAGTAAGCCTTGCTTTTGCCACTACCACCACCATCACCACCATCACCACCACCACCACCACCACTACCACTGCGATGACTACTGCTGCGGCCACTAGCACTGCCAGTGCTACTGCTGCTAGCACGACGACGACTACTACTTACTAGCGCTACCTACTACTTACTATTTGCTACCTGCGGCTACTGCCTAGTAGCTACTACCTGCCACCTAGATTGATACTCGTTACGACCAACCACGGACCTACAACCTACAACCATAAACACTATTACGACTACTACACCTGCCACTTACTAGTTACGACCTACCACGGACCTACAACCTACTACCTACTACCATTAACACGACTACGACTACTACTTGTACAACTGATGCAACCACTCCTACTACTGCTAGTGCTGCTGACGACGACCCTGCTGCTGCGACAGATACTACTAGCAGGACGATGACGGCGATGACTACTACCAGCACTTCTCTACCACTGCCCGAATGAGAGGGGTGGCTGTAGGTGGGGCAGTTGGCAGAAATTGTCTTCCCGACTGATTCGCAGAAAAAGCCTGTGATATCGGTCAGCCGCTCTGAGCGCAGTGCTGGCGGTGCGTCCCCACGTGCAACTTGTGATCTGGTTTGCAGCGCCGTGAGGCTGCAGCTTCCTGCCAGGTGGAAGGCTAAGTTTAACTCGATGGCCTAAACTTCGCCAATCCCGAACTTGTGAATGCTTTCAGCCTGCAAACGAGTCGACACACTCGTCATCTGCATCCAAAGGCGCAAGGTCGGACTGGGCGGCCAACCCTAGGAATACCTAAGCTGAAAGCCCAGCCTTCGGTTGAGAATTCAATTCACAAATGGAGACCAAGTCGCAATTGGCAAGGAAAGGACGCTGAAGAGCATGGTTTCGAGGAGCCTTAACCTCAGAAGGGATCAGAAGTTACCAGATGGAACTAGCAATGCAACGCCTGACTCAAATGTCAGTGCTGAAATGCAGAACGAGGAGCACTGGTAGCGGTCAAAAGAGAAGCTGCACCGGGCTGCGACCAGATCCAGCCGAAAATGCAGCGATGGCAAAATAGGTGATGCAGTTCAATATGACACTAGTAACACTAAGCCACAAAAAATCAACAGGACGGCGAGATTGCCCTATTCTAAAGCTGCGCAAATTAGTGCTGCAACGAGCTCGGGGTCCAAAGGCCTGCATCAGTCCGTCTCGAAACTCGTATGCCATCAGGCAAAAGCCATCCTGTGACGTTAGCGCTCTTGTCTGGGGTTCTTTCCTCTCCATATATATATAAGGAGCTATGACAAGCTGCAGCGACATCGAGCCTTGCCAGCCAAATGCCGCATGGTCTCCACCAAGGCAACAGCCGTTTCGTCGTCATGCTGGTAGATGACTTCACCTGAGAAGGCGCACACCCCGAGGTTTCATTTCAGTCTCGCCGACAGACAGCCACTGAGCAGCCAGCACCCAATCACGATGTCACAGCCCGTGGGCCTGGAGCAATACCCCTTGCAGGCAAAGGCTCTCAAGGCTTGCGTCAGTCGCCCAAACTCTACGAGGGCTCGGCGCCACTTGCACAGAAGCCTGGACATGATATAGCCGTGTCAGGCGCCAAGTGCAACATCCATATCAAACACTTGAGACAAGGGGCCCGCCCTCAAGGACTGCACATGACCGCTCCGTGAATAGTGAAACCGTGCAACATCTGCCAGTTGACACTGCACGAGAAACGGAAGGTCATGTTTGCAACTAAACACCTGCCTCTCGGCCCCACTTCAATTCAGCTACGGAGGTGGTATGTCCACCTGCGAAGCCGAAAGAGGGAACATGTGAAAGCCACTTGCTCGGCCGCAGAGTGTAGACAAGAGGCCATCGCCGAGTGCGGCCAAGTTCAGCTGCACATTCCGCTTTAAAAGTGGGAGCCCCTGTGACAGATCTGTCAGTACCTGCAAACAACCGACTATGGATTTGGACGGCAGTTCTGGTAACACGCTACGAGTAGGGCACCACTTCTGAGGCACCCAGAGCAGCGCAAACCAAACCGACGAGTCCAGTGCCGGCACCTCGCGCTGGTCTGCACTGTAGTTTCCAGTGTTGCTGTTATTCTTGTTGGTTGCTGGTGGTGGTGATTGTGCAGGTTGCGGTAGAAGCGGAAGAAGTAGTAGCCGTCGCCGCCGTGCGAGTACATGTACAGGTACACTACTATTACAAGTCGGGAGGTCGGTGGTTGTCAATTGTACGTTGTGCCTGTTGCTGCTGTTTTTGCCGGGCCTGTTGACACCCAGAGAAGAGCTTAGACCGTCGTCGTGGTCGTTTGCGGTGTTGGTGGTGGTCATTGTCATGGTCATGGTCATGGTCATGGTTATGGTCGTGGTGGTGGCGGTGGTGGCGGTGGTGGTGGGGTCCCGGTGCTGGTGCCGGTACGATCGTCAGGTTGCTCTTCTTACCTAGCTGAGGTTCAGATCAGCTTCTCTCGGTCGCAACTGCATCGGAAACCACTGATGATCGAACATGTTCAATCGTCATGGGGTGGTGCACACTTGAGCGGTGCCTACAAAAGAGAACTCGTTGACTCTTTGGATCCCTGCAACTTGCAGGATCAATCAGGCTCCATCTCCGGCTGCAAGTTCTGTACACGTTGACTGTAGCATGTCCACATGATGCCGGAGCCGTACTCGCCGAAAGCAATACAACAAGATGTGAGTCACACACAACTCCGCACTAGACTCCTGGCCATGCACATGTCTCCCTACTTGCCTGGTCCCTTCTCAACATTGGCTTCAAGAAAGTACGAGCAGGGGTGGTTAGTTTGGGATCCTGAGGCAGAGGCGCAATTTCCTGTAATGCTTTCCCGACAAACCCGACCACTGCTGCACCTAGTTCCACGACCCGCTTGCCGCGCACCAGCTCCGGATGGGCCTGGGTTGAGTACTGTAGCACTAGCGGCTAGCCAGCTGCCCATTAGCGGTTCCGGCATGTAGAGACGAGGATCGGCAGGGCGTGACCGAGGTTCGTCTCAAGCGAAGGAAAGAAGTGATCTCAACTTGTGCAACGCAGATGCTATTTGTGGGCTTAGGTACTAGCATTTTGCACGATGTACTCAGCCTCGCACGTAACGTAAAGGCTTGCGGCTTGCTGTTGATGCCAGCGGTTTGGTTCGAATACAGTGCCGGAATGCGATTAGATTGTTGAGATTGTTTATTTAGCACACTACGACGACCCGGATGCGCTGCAAGGCACGGGTTGTAGACCGACCTCGAGGCTCCCGAGGATGCGGTTAAGGCTCTGTAAGGTGCCCACACACAAGTGCGCGCACATCGAGTGGGCCGAAGGCCTTGAGTGTTCATGCTACCGAGAGCTACCGTCAAGAGCATCTGTGACTCACGACACGGTTCAGATCGCCGCCAAACGATGCAGCCTGTGGAATCTTCGCCCTCGGCTACTCCCCGCAACTTCCCGGCCCGTACCCTTCGAAAGCCAGCACTGTGGGCTGGGGTGAGAGCACTTCGGTCTTTCTCCACCTGACGAGCAGTCACAGCATATGTTCCGATTCGAAGGCCTGCTTTAGGGCTGTCACCTGGTCCTCTGACACCTATCTCAGCGACTATGCGGTGGTCTTCATCTATTCATGCTTCTATCCATCTACCTATCTATCTATCCATCTATAGCTGGTGCGCCTCCTGTTCGACGGTGATGGGTGCTGCCTGAGACCACGGCTGACGAAGGAAATGGGATCAGCCAGACCATGGCTGGGATCGAGGCGTCAGAAAGAGAAACCGTCGTGAAAACGAACCTATGTGCAAGTGGCCATCTGGGAAGACAGCCAGGGCAGGATTCTCGAAGACGACCCGGGGCTCACCTCAGGCTTCGATGGTTTACAGAGCTGCTTCGCCGAGCAGCTGAAGCTGAGGTTCGGAACTGCGCAGGGGGCCGCTGTAGAGAAGTTTGTCCTCGGAGTAGCTTGGCCCTCAAGCAACCATTTCCGATACAACTCGATACGGCAAGGCAGGCTAATGATCCGCTTGCATCCAGAAAGATGCACTTCAGACGAGATGCCAAGTTGAACTGAACTGTGCGGACCTCTACACCTGGGTGTCCCACCAGCTCTTGACGGGTCAGCCTTGGCTGAGCTGGCTCTTCGAGGGACATCGAAGATCGGGCTCGGAGCTTGAAGGGTGTTTTGATGATTTGGTGTTGGTGCGAAGTGCGGAAGTGTAGCCACCACATCACGGCAACTGCTCATGCCGCTCGCAACTCTGCCAAGATCCCAGGCTTTGTTTGCCGTCGCATCAGTACTCCTCAGTACTCCTCGTCGCCCGCCGGAGGCTTCTGAGGCTCTGAGCTCGGCGCTTCTGCGTCCTTTGCCTCCGCCTCGGCGTTTCTGGAAAGACTGCCGTGGGTGAGACGGAAGACGCCAGCAGCCAGGGCACCACCGAGCACCTCGGAGAGCATGAAGAGGAGAAGATGCGAGATTGGGCCGACCCCTGCGTGCCCCGGATTCACCAGGTTGCCCGTGTAGATGCCCAAAGACACAGCCGGATTGAGCTCACCGCCGGAGATGGCAGACGATGCAAAGCCGCCGACCGTCACACAGGCGCCGATTGCAAGGCCAAAGTAGGCATTCTGTTTCGTTTTCCACTCTGCCGGGATGTCTGTGGTGGCCACGGTCAGCACCACATACGCCAAGATCATGGTGAAGAGTGCCTCTGCCATGCATGCTTGCCATACCTGGTAGTGCTTCCCCGGCTGAAGCCAGATGGACATCTTGGCCTGCCCAGAGCTGATATGAAAGAAAGCAGAGGCAATCCCAGCCAGCAGGCCGCCAAAGAGCTGGCAAAGCATGTAGCAGGCAGCATCACGTGCGGTGCACTTTCCACGCAAAGACACGGCCATGGTGACGGCGGGATTGAGGTGGGCGCCAGAGATGTTGCCCAGGGAGTAGATCATGCAGGTAAGCGCCGCAGCCGCAGAGAAGGCGGTGGCAGGAGACTTGGCCACCAAGTTCAAGCCCACCGTCAAGGTTAGCACGAAGGCTCCCAGCAGCTCTGCCCCACACCGGGTGCCAAGCCCGGCTTCGTGCTTTGCAAGGCCCTCCTCCGTGGCATCTTCTGCGAACTCCTCCCGGCGAAGCAAGCGGAAGAGTCCCGCAGCCACCGCGCCTCCCAAGAGTTCGGCGGTGGACCAAAGCCAAGGCCAATGAAGCTCTTTGCCACTCGTGGATCCCAAGCTCAGTGCCACGGCCGGGTTGAGTGCTGCACCAGACACACCTCCTACAGCGTGGCCACCGGCAATGATGGTGAAGCCAATGGCTAAGGCGTAGAACTGATTAGGGTCGTCCTTGGGATTGTTTCGGCGGGATGCGGCACAGCTGAGCACCGTGAAGCACAAGAGAGTGGTGTAGATGAGCTCTGCAGAAAAGCAGGAGCCAGCGCCGAAGGGCTTGATAGGTGCGACTACGACGTATCCGGGGGAGCAGACCAGGCGGAAGAGAGCCGAACCAATGAAGCCTCCGACTAGCTGGACCATCCAGTAGGTCATCATCTTGCTCCATGGCATCTTCCCGCAAATCGCCAGCGACAGCGACACCGCCGGGTTCAGATTTCCCCCGGAGATGGCGCCCGTCGCGTAGATCATGACCATGAGAACAAAGGCAATGGATGTGGGCACCCATGCTTGTGGCGCAGGTCCCGTCACCAAACAGCCCACCGTGAAGACGAGGCAAAGCGTGCCGAAGCACTCTGCGACCAAAGGTGCGCTCAAAGTCCATCCAGAGAAAGCAGCAAAGGGTGAGCCGAACTTCCAAGACCAAATCTTCTTTCCGGCGCTGCCCGCTGCACCATAGGAAGCCGCGTCGCCACTCTCCAACAGGGCCTGGGAAGGAGCGTCCTGAGCCGCCATTTTTCGAAGGGGTTTCAGTAAACTTCTCAAGGAAGTCTTGCTTGCGAAGCAGGTGTAGAGCTTAGACCAACGTGGCTTGAGCCCAAAGGCAGCCACAATTTGTCCCGTGTTGGATGAACTTGGGGTGAGGGGCGGAGCTTGGTTCTCCTCTCTCAGCTCTGGGCTCATCACCGGCATCGGCAGCGGCATCCCACCTGTCGCCCGCAGGGACCAAGTAGCGAGGAAGAGAAACGACTCGAAGGCATGAAACTCGGAGCACGGCCCTCCCAGAAGTGACACCAAGCGGACCTCACCGCGAACCTGAAGCCATCAAGCATAGTTCAAGTTCCACCTTTCCGAGCTCTGCGTCACGTTTCTGCCAAGCAACTTTGACGGTCCGCTGAAGCAGTCTCAAGCCAAGGTCTTCAGCAAATCTTCGCAAAAGCAGCACCTCGCTGTACTGTGATAAGGCTTTGCTGCTTTGCACATGCTCCTCTCTGCTGGGGCAACAGCTTGCGTGGCCGTCGCGAAGGATATCGAAAGGATGATCCTCGGTTCCATGAGGCTCGGCTCTGACTGAATGGGCTCCTTCCGGCTGTGGGCTGGCGACCCGTCCGGCTGGAGAAGTGATGCAGCTGCCTTCAGCATCTGTACCTGCCCCAAACATCGCCTAGGCTGAGCGAATCACCTCAGTGAGGTGCCCTGGCAGCCAGGAGAGCCTTCTCCGAGGAGTGGTGCAGCGCGTCCACCGTGCCCTGAGGACATGGGCTGCTGCCAAAGCGCGCCAAAAGGGCTTCGACTCCTGGAGCCTGCCTTGTCGAGGACGAGAGTGGCGTTGCCGCGCAGCGGAGCCAAAGCCTGCTATAACTGCGAAGCTCTGCGATGACAGTTTGTGTTGCAAGAACTTGCAGCAACTGATCCGGGAAGCTGCACCTCTGTGCTGCGGCAGTCACCGACCACACAGGACACCTCAAGCTCTCGCTCCCAGCAGATCTCGGCTGTAGCTTCGCTCGGAGTGCCCGGCACGCGTGTCCGAGGCGTACTGCGCCTGCAAAGGAAGGAATAAAAATCACCAGCATGGCACCAAGGACAAGGAGCGAATGCTTGCGTTACGTCCGGCCGCTACAGGAACACTGTCTTCCACTTAACCAGCGTTGGGCCTTCAAGTCTGCCACAAGTGCCTCCGACACATCCTTGGGATGGAAAGCACCGGTTTAGGGGGTTAGGGCTTATAGGGTTTAGGGTTTAGGGCTCAAAAGTCGGACAACAAATGTCGCGAAAGCACATCTGGCCGCGAGATATCCTTTAAAAAGATTTGTCTTCCACATCGGATCGTCGCCACCACCAGCATCGCAGCTTGAGCGCCATGCATGCTTATTTCGCGGTTTGATCTGCCAGCATTCTCAGCAGCCATGTTCCCCAAGGCTTAGGCCAGGCGCTCAAGCGCCTCATGGCGCGCACACGTACGTGGGCTTTGGGAAAAGACAGTGGCGTTTTGCATCTTGCATCCCATCTCGTTTCAAGCCTTTCTCAACTCGTCCTGCCTTGAAGTGACAGCAGAAACGTGTTCGGCACCATCCGCCTTGGTAAGTGGTAACCTCGTGCATACGGCTCATGCTCACAATGGCAATGGTCGTAACGGACAATCATCTTGCATCTTGGTGATCTTCCTAGCGTTTTTAACTCTGATGCCAGCTCTTCCTGGTGCCGACGACGTTGTGCCAGTCCCAGCAGGGCGGTGTGTGGCAGCGTTCGGGTGGCACATCCACTTTGTCGAATGGTTGTTGCAACTACGAAGCATCACCATCGTGCAGATGCTGGTGGTGATGAAATTCAATTACCACCGTCGGCATCAATCATCATCATCATCATCATCATCATAATCATGACCAGCATCATTAGCATAATGAATTGTCATCCTCGGTGGGGTGACCACTTGCTGAGCAAGAAGTGGGGCGGGAGCGCCATTCTTTTGATTTGAGTCGGCATCGAGTGCTCCCGAGCTCGAGCGGGGGCAGTGAGTTCGGACAGCATTTCTTGCGTTCGTCAGAGTACGGGCTGAGGCTCTGTGCGATCACCGAATCCACTGGAAGGAAAGAAGATCTGCCGTATGCCTGGGTCCTTGCTCCGTCGGTTTCGGATTGATTTGCCAGTACTGCACTTGGTCCGTGCTTGTTTTCGTGGGGTTACTCGAGGCAACCACTTTCCGGCACATCTTGGGCACCCTAACTACTACTGCGCGTCTCACACTTCCTATCCTGGGACTGCAAACATAAGTTGGTTCAAGTCCGGAGAACTGACCCACCGTCATCCATCGTGACAGCACGTCCCACAAGGAAAACAAGTCCCAACATTTGGATGCAGAAACACCAACATACACAAACAGCCTGGGCTCTGTACGGCATCAATCGTGCGAGAATCGAACACCAGACTTTCGTAACAAACGACACACAGTGTCACTGCAGCTGAGCGCCGATCAACCAAGGTCAAGCAAGCCTAGCAGTTCACCAGGTGGATACATATGTATAAACCAATGCATACATGCATGCATGCATGCATGCATGCATGCATACATACTTGTACACGTACGCGTACACATATACATATGCATTTACAAAGGTGTATGTATGTATGCACGTATGTATGTACATACAGGCATGCATGCATGCGTATTTATCTCAGGTCGACCCTTTCTGTCTGCATTTACACGAGCTTTCACGGATGCGATGGTGATGCAGCCCTTGACCCTTGCAAGCACATGCGCTTTGCCTTGGGGAAGTCCTCCAGTAGTTGCAGGCCTGAAGGGACTGCAAAGGTGGGTTCCAGGACCGCAAAGAGCTCGTGTAACCGAAGCCGGCCAAAGATGCGTGCGACTTTCTGTCGATGCCTTCCGGCTGTTCAACGTCAAATTCCATCGCCTCCTAATAAGAGCAAGCCCGTGGTGACACATCGGTGAAACAAGCCATTGCAAAATGACATAATTCTAAGGTAGCCGGGGTTCACCAACTGTACAGCTGATTGCAATTCGTGCAAGCGGAAAACGGTTGGCCCGGCCTAGAAATTGCAAGACCCAGGGCTTTTTCGACAAAAGCTAGCAAGTATCAGCATGTCTGGGTCCTCTTGTCGGTTGTTGCAGCTGAAGAACTTAGTGCTACTCAATAGTATTAACTACTGCTGTTGCTAGAACGACGGCGGACGACAACAACAACAACAACCACAACCAACAACCACAACCACAACCACAACCGCAACCACAACAACAACAACAACAGCAGCAGCAGCACCACCACCACCAACAGCAACAACAGCACCGACAGGACAGCGACAGCGAGAGCGACCGCCATAGCCACAGCAACTGCAACATCTACTACTACTACTACTACTACTACTAACGATAATAATAATAATACTAATAATACCACTACTACTAATAATAATAATACTACTACTACCACCACTATCATTACCACAACCACTACCACTACCACTTCCGCTGCCAACACTACTGCTACGACGATGACTACTACTAGGGCTACTACCACCACCACCACTACTATTACTACTGCTACTACTGCTGCTACTACTACTACTACTACTACGACTACTACTACCACTACCTGCTCCTACTACTAGTACTACTACTACTACTACTACTACTACTACTACCACTACCACTGCCACTACCACTACCTACTCCTACTACTACTACTACTACTACCACCACCTACTACTACCTACTATACCCTGTCCCACCTACTACTACCTCCGACTACCTACTACTACCCTGTCCCACCTACTACTACATCCGACTACCTACTACTACCCTGTCCTACCTACTACTACCTACGACTACCTACTACTACTACTGCTACTGCTACTGCTGCTGCTGCTGCTACTGCTACTGCTACTGCTACTGCTACTGCTACTGCTACTGCTACTGCTACTGCTACTGCTACTGCTACTTGCCACTACTACGACGACGACTACTACCACTACTCACTACTACTAACTGCGACGGCTTTCGCTATGTCCGCGGCAGCGTCAACGACTTGCACTACGATTGCAACTACCGCTGACTCCAGTAGTCTAGCACTTACAACGACGGCGACGACTGCTACAACCACAACTCCTCCGGCTGCTGATACAACTAGTGTTTCTACAACTAAACCTAATGCGACCGGCATTCCGCCACGACGGAAGCGACGATCGCTTCTGGCTACTTGTATTCCTATAGTGTGGTTTTTAGAGTACCAGGAGGCCATGGCATTCATACGATGCCAATGCCGATCTCATGTCAAACAGCTCCTGGGTTGAATTCAAACCAACCGCCTCTTGCGAACTACCGCATCATCACACGGTCACAATGGCTGGCAGCTTGTGGCTCGGCACGGTTAACACTATGGATTGATGGTTACCTCATGCTTAAGAATGGCAAGACATCTCTACCCGGCACAAACTACTATGTCGCACTGAGTCCTTCCACTCCTTGGGTGCAGAGTGCGGTCATGACATCGGGAAACTGGGTGAGACTGTAATAGAGGGCGCATTTGCAGAGGACGACCTTCGTCAAACGCCGTCAGCAGGATCAAAGTACCTGACCACTAATCACTAATCACTAAAATCACTAAAAAAAAACCGTCAGAGAATAATCCTGGCCATGAAAGTACTGTAGATCAAGAAACTGCACCCGGCCTCTGGCCCAAAGTGGACGGCTCCGGCCTGAACGCTCGCCGCGCATGCCGGTCGACTTCCCGAGCCTCAAGGAAGGGCCTTGGGAGGCCCTGGGCCACTGGGTCTTTAGGGGCCTTGGTCCTGCCTTGTCAGTAAGATCTTGAATCCAGAATTAAGACGGTGTGGGAGTGTGCTGTTGGGTGCTGAAGCACCAGCAGATCCGGCCCCCGCCGTGATCGGAAGACGACTCTGCAGGCTTTAGGCTCCAAGTCCTCAAGCCTCAACCTCTGGCCGTGCCAATCCCCAACGATACCCCCTAATCATTCATTGGCATCTCCTCCCTGAAGTACAGGAGCCTACCTTGTGCTCAGCCCCACGAAGTCCTCGCAAAATTATGCTTCGGGGCTCCCCTCTTAGTCTGTTCGAAGCGATACGAAACCATCATCGAAACGGGCCATGGGAGACCCCTATGCAAAAAAAAATCACCGCCCCAGCAAGTCTCGCTGCCTGAGAAGCTTCGGCCAGCCGCGGGGGAGCCTGTGGAGCAGGCATGCGCTCGTATCCAGCACCTGCCCGGGAAAGTTGGAGCAGGCGTCCCTCCCTCTTCCTCTTTACATTGCGATGGACACCCATGGCCGCCCTCACCATCACCGCTACCACCACCATGATTATAGTGATGACGATGATCATCGAATAGTAACCATTACCATCATCATCATCACCATCATCATCATCACGATTCGGCTTTGTACTCACTGCTGCGACGTAGTCGAACATGACAGGCGAATAGCTGAACATCGCAGTCTGAGGGTGGACCAACAGCCTCCTTTTTTCCAGAATATCCAACCAAACCAGTCGAGGCGCGCGAGTTCGAGGGCCAGTCTTAGCGAATTCAAAGTGTCACTGCATTGAGCGACCCTGGGCCCAGTGGCCCAGGTCCAGACTCACAGCACCTACTTACTATGCCCCTGTTTCCTAGACTGTTTCGTCTGGACTTAGGAAGGAGTGGGCTGGTCACTTCCTTGATCCAACCCGATGGCAGGGTACGGCCCGTCTTACCCCGACTTGCACGATGCCTCATTTTAGGTGAAACGGTGAATTCGAATAAGCCCGGATGTTCACAAGGCCAGCATGCCTTTAAAAGATCTGGAAGCTAAATCGCCTCGGTCCAAGTTGAAGCTACATGCAGGAGAGTCGAACCACCTAATTGGCTAATTTGGGTCTGAAGAAGGAACGATTTTGTCTCACAAATGCTCCGACCTCTAAACCCAAAACTTGGAAATGCACAGCCACGATCACAACTGCACATATGTCTCTCGGGATGATACTGAAAGAGACGCACATCAAAATCTGTGAATCCTAAGCTTTCGCAGAGCATCGTCACCCAAGACCCACTCAACTTCTCGACCGTCCCTATCATACCCCGAAGCGCCGGCAGCCGCGAGATAAGACAGAAACGAGGGATGTTCTGCAGGAGACTTGCCACTGCGCAGCTTCTTTACAGCAGCTTCCTTGGCTTGACGCTCAAGTGCATTGCGGGAAATGATGATGTCTTCCTTTGCCGCATAGCGGAATAGAAAGGGTGCCGCCTCCGCGAGCTGCGCAGCAGTGACGGACTCGATGCGCATCAGAGTCCAAGTCCATGTGTCGACCTCCGTTGGGTTGGCCACGACGGCTTCTGCGATGGCATCGTGTCTTCGAAGTTGGCACAGTGCCGTTCTTGCCATCAGCTTTGTCTTCTGCTTTGCTTCGACCTCCTTGTTGCCGATGACCAAGTCGCCGTCAATTCGAACGGTGGCCAGCCTTGACAGTGCCTCCACGATTCCCTGGCTCACTTCATCGGCGGGAATCAAACATGCAGCACAGCAAGCATCAGCAAGAGCCCTGGAGCCAAGTTCTTTCTCATGCGTGTCCAGGCCATTGGCAACTGAAGAAACTCGCTGCCTGGCCTCCGAATCTGTCAGTCCGTTGCTGACGACGTCCAGCCTGACAAGCGCTGACCATGCTGCCTCGCGCACATTCTGATCCACATCCTCGAGGGCAACGGAGAGAAGCATAGGCACATACTTAGCCAAGAGAGGGATCGCATCTTGAGATTCAAAGACGTGGCAAGCTGCCCGGCGGGTCCTGCTGTGGCTGTCCCGCAGGAGATAGGCCAGTTCACCCAACTGAGGCAACATGTCCGGGACAGTGCCGAATCGATGCAGCACCATGCATACAGCCTCCTGCACCTCTGGGCGACCCTGCCCTCTGGCGATCTCTACAAGTCGCGGGATGCAAGCCACAGCCTCCGGTGTGTTAACCAAGGCCTGGAGCACGGAGCATACGCCGTAGGGAAAGGTATCCTGGAAAGCATTGTCACCTGATGCCCACAGCTCCTTCACCAAGTCCTGGATCTGCCCGCCCGTGAGCTTGCCTGCCCAGCGCTGCAGCAACTGCACCGCATCGAACATCGAAAAGTCCTCGGGGCCCCGAGAAATCGGGGAGTGCGCTTGCTTCACAAGCTGCACAAGAACATCAAAGCATTCCGCACTTGGCGACTGGATGGCGCGGGCCAAGAGCTTGGCTTTGTCCATGCGACCTGCCAAAACCATCTCCGCTAGCTTCTTCTGCACAAAGCTGTCACACTGCTCATCTCCTTGGGACAGTAAACCGTAGACGCTAGGCGACTGAAAGTCACTGGCTTCTGCGAGGAGCACAACTGCCAGTAGGGATTCTGCATGAGAGGCCGTCAACGCCATGCCGATGCATGCCGGGGCCAGCTTGATGCTCTGCCAATCCCAACGGTGAAGGTTATCGGCGGCAGAGCCGGTCATGGCGTTCAATGCATCGTCGATTTGACCCCAATAAAACAATGCACGAAAGGCTGCATTTTGAACTCCTCTCTCCTGGTGGCTTAGAAGCTCCAGTAAGTTCTGCCGATAAAGCTTGAGCGTGGACTCACCAAGCCACTGCACCGCATAACAAGCTTCCTGCAAAACAGAATCCTGCTGGCTCTCAAAGAGCTTGCCGCTTGCCCTCAGCAAGCTCCTTCCTGACCAGGTCCTCCCCTGAGCCTGAGCTTCTCAAGGACAGAGCTTTCCAAGCTACCCTCCGCGCTTGGAAATCCTCATCCGAAAATGCGAGGCGCACCAAGAGACCAGCCTCTTCTTGGAAGTCTTCCCAAGGAGCCACGATCATTGCCTTGCAGGCGAGTATGCGTATGTTGACGACCCTATGCCTAAAAGCGGGCGGGCCAAACGAGAGGATCTTGCGAGCTGTTGCTTCGTCCATCGTCGATTGAGTCATGTAGATCGCCAGGTCACGGCCAGTGTCCTCTGCGCTGCTCCAAAAGTGAAGCCACAACAAACCTAGAAGGGGCCTCGGCCATGTCGCGGCCACAAAGCTGCCGTCCGGCTCCTTCTCTGCATTTTCGGCAATGCTTCGCAACGACACCAAGCTCTCGCGCCGGCTTTCTGGGCATAGGAACTGTATGTCGTTCATCACCTCCCACTTCCGCACGAGTGCGTCCGCCTGTTTGTCTGACAGCTCCTTGCTCAAGGCCAACAAGGTGACGCAATCGAAAGTATGCTGCCAGCGTGCATGCTTCACGAAGTCCATGTCGGAAGCCCCCTGGCCCATGAATCCAAGAAACAGCTTGAACAGCTCTTCTTCCGCGGCCTGCCTTGAGGATATGGGAGCCCGGCTGTCGCCAAGGAGCTCTTCGAAGGCTTGCTGCTTCCACTCCTCACCGAGCACACCGACCGAGACCACACCGCGAACATCCCTCTCAGCAATACTGCTGGCTGGCCATGGCACATCGTGCAGAGCCATCCATGCCAAGACAAAAGGCCGGCCGAATAGAATCGAACAAGTTTTCACAAAAGCCACTACCATGTTGACGGCGATGAACGGAGGGATACCGGCGCCTTCTGCATAGAATGTGTATACAGAGAACCCAACTGCCACGAACAATTGCGGTAGATCCTCAAAGAGGCACAGCATACGACGATGTCCACGTGTTGCTTCCTCTGTCTGCTGGGCGAGGACCGTCAGCATGTCACTTATGGACCGGGCGCTAGCCTTTTTGACGCTGAGATTTTGTTGCTGAGGCCAATATGCTATCCGAGAAAGCCGGGCCGTAACTGGATCCAGGTAGTTGATCATGTTGGGAAGCAGCATGGTGACAACAATGATGGCGGCGCAGATGTGGCCGACAAGGTTGTTCAAGTTCGCGTACACGCCAATGCTTACGGTGTCCTTGATCAAGTCGTAGCGCTCACTGAAGATCGGCATGATGGAGCGCAAGAACTGGCCGGGAGTTGCACCGCAAATCAGGTGCGTGACAACACTCTCTAGAAACCAGAACAAGTACAGCTCCCAGTCAAGGCCGTACTTGTTGAGGTATCCCTGGCGGCATGCCCAGAATACCAGGATAAAGCCGGAGAAGGTGTAGGTCATGTGGTACATGACGAACCCCACTGCCAGCTGGTACTGCACCAACTCATCATTGACATCATTCTTCTGGACAGCTTCCACGTCCTCCTCCGCCTTTGCGCCGTCGTTCTCCATCAAAGGCTGCCGCTCGCCGCTTTGGAGCGATACTGTGCTTGACTTGCGACCCCGGTTCGGTCTGCAAAGCTGCCGGCCCTTCAAGCAGAGCAGGGTGAGTCCAGTTGCAGAGCCGTAAAGCCAAACTGCCAGGCGCGCCCTCCGTGTTCGCTGCGTTCTGCTTATCTCTTCAGAGGGCAGCAGCTTCACCGTGTGCATGGGAGGTGGCAGTCCGGAGACTGTCTTCACCGCCTCCATGCTTGGCTGGGGCGAGCTCGGCGATTGTTAGAGCAACTCTGGAGTGGCCTAGGGCCTAGAGATTTAGCAGCTTGGTGCAGGTCAGTTACTGTAGGGCTTGGTCTGTAGCTTTGGCGATACTTGCTGAGCGGGTGTCAGGCACATGCGGCAGAGGAGTCAGAAGACTTGAAACTTGAAGACGGAATCGGCTGGCGTTGAAACAAGGCAGGACTTGCAGTCTACAGGTGCAAAAAGTTTCGGCAGACTGACGAAGACTGCAGAATGTCGGAACCGGACGCTGATGTCTTCACCTGCTGTCCGCAGAGCTGTCGAAGCCGTTCCCTCGTCTCTCTCGGCGTAGGCACCTGCCACGCACCAACTGACGAATTGCTCTGTCAGCTCTTCCGGGGAGCATCAGCTGCCGTACGCAAAGCAGCTCGGCAGTGCCTCTCTGTTTTTCGGACCATGCAGGTCCTCAGTGCACTCCAGGCGTGTCAGTTCAAGTAACTCCAGAATGCCACTCGATCAGTCTTCGGCGCCATGCCTGTTCTGTTAGGTGCGGCACAACTTCTGGAGTCTAGTCACTAGTCCTTGTCAGCGCACTTCCCGTTGCAACACATTGCTGATAAAACCCTCTTTGAACTTCGTGCCCTGCCATGTCGGAGAGCTCCCACAGCAAGCACAACGAGATCTTTTGCAGACCAGCTGCGGATTCTCACTACCGACTCCAGCGGTTCCTGCGCCGATTGGTTACGCTCTATAGGCAAGAGATTGCCTGTTCCACGTGAGCGAATGAGGCCCAGTTTTAGTCCTATACTCCTCCTCCTTCTCCTGCTCCTCCTCCTCCTGCTAACGCTGGTGCTGATACTATTTCTGCTTTTTCCACTTTGATTTGTTGGGGAGTTCAGGTATCGGCTCTCGGGCGGTTTGGCCTGGCAAACGAAGCAGGTGAGGACTGCTACTATTGAAAGTTTCGGCTTGAGCTTCTTCCTCTCATATCGTCGGCAAATCGTCTCAGCCTTCAGAGAATGTTTGTTTACTCACCCGCTTAGAATATACCACAGACATATACGCCTGAGTTCTAAGCCCTGAACATCACCAACACCGCGGCTTCATCCCTAATCCGTAACACGCATAAAGAAAAACAGAGATATATACACAATATGTACATACACATGTACATCCATATGAACAAAGCAGTATCTGTATCAATGTTTGTGTCTTTGTGTATCTAAATCAATCAATAAACTCTCCAGTCCTGGATCTGCCCCGGTTGGTCCTCGGCCACGGCAGCCAGAACCTGCGGCAAAAAGGCAAAGGCCACTGAAAAGAAGCCAGGGGCTCTTCGTCTCTAGTTACAAACGCCTATTATGTAGCAGCGCGGTGGGGTAATTCAGGCATCTTGAAGTTTGCTTGCTAGGCTAAGGAGTCCGGAGGCTCTGACTCTCAGCTCTAATGACTGCACTTCCATACCTTGCTCAAGAAACTCGTGGGGACCACGTCAAACCAACACACAAACAAACACACAAACAAACAAACAAACAAACAAACAAACAAACAAACAAACAAACAAACAAACAAACACACGCACACACGCTTGGGCATGGCGGTGGCTTGACGGAGATCAGAGGTTACCGGCTCAGGTCCAGGCAAACACTGTGAAGACGACAGGATGGTACGACGTGTGAACGAGAATCCTCTGCGGTCATGACAAAACCCTGGCATCTACATCAAGGGGTTCCTTGGAAGGCGAAGTTTCCAGTGAAAAGAGGATCCTCGTGGCCCATCCTCTTTCCCAAGTCGGGCCTCTGCTTGTCGAGGAATCTCTGGCATCCGGGATGCTCGGAGCTTTGCCTGTAAAGCTTCCTTGGAAAGGCCATCAATCCGAGCTCTCTCAGCATTGATGCTGCGTGCTCTCGGCATCATGTGCTGTGTGTTCCCAGGATTGAGATTCTGCCTTTTGTATTTCAGCTGTCCTCGACAGAAAAGGATTCCGATCATCACGCTTTGACGTCGAGGTTTCTGCCTGCGTTGGCTATCACGCAGGCTCTGCTCATGCAAGCTTCAGCGAGTCATCTTCCGATGTTGACATCATCGCTATTACTCTCGTGATCGTTGTGCTTGCGGCTCTTCTTGGCAGGAATTGTCATTACAGGAAACCAGGTCGCATTCTTTCCAGAAGGCTTCCTTCTTCACCCACCATCACGCACGGGCCGATGTACTTCCAGAAGTTGCAGAAGCTAAGTTACCAAATTTCGGGCCGAGTGCAGGAGAGGAGCTAAAGACTTTGAAGCTCTCTGCCGCGCATCTTCGAGCTTCACGTCATTCAGGGCCAACTCACGGCTATTCGCTCCCGGCCTCGTCAGTTAAATTGCGACTGTAACGCACAACGGATCTGGGAGGACAGACATTATCTCTATCAAGTGATAGTCAGGGAACTACCTGTAGGTAACTAGTTTAGCATTCCCGCTGTAAGCCAGCAGCCTGATTAGGAATATGCTATATGCCCCGGTGGCTACAGTGGCCCAAGTCCCAAGTGTTCTCTCTAGCCCCTGAAAACCTTTCTTGCAGCTCCTGAATCAGGCAAGTGTCTGGGAGCAGTCCGGGTCCAAGGACCGTGACGCCTTGCACGCGAACGGCTCTCATATCCAGCGCTCCGTCATGATTCAGGAAACACATGAACGGCAAGGCAGTGATGGCAATGGGCCTCCTGTCGCTTGTGAGAGGAATGGGTCGCTGAGCTCCGAAAGGAATCACTTCGAGAACATGTGCTTCTTGATGGCCTGCGCGATCTGCACACACACACACACGTTGCTAGATGTTCTGCAGAAGTAAGGCACTGCATCAGAGAAGGCCCAGACATGACATGAAGTAACGACCCTGCTGGACCAAACTCCGCCTCCTGGCAGAGCTGGATGCTGAGGCAGTGGACGGGAGACTTGGCCGCGAAGAACAAGTCTGCGGGCGCCAGGCGCCGAATTCGTCCCTGTATTTTCCTTCCAATGCATGCATGGTAGGGCACATGCAAGGACACGACTCCGACTCTACCCGGAAATTCAGCGAACTCATGTACGGCCATCCTTCTGCGGTTGTCCTGCTTATTTCCTACTCGAAACCTACACCCCCTCTCGAAGCCGCGACCGGTGGCCTGCGCTCAGCGTCGAAGCTGTCGAGTCCCGCGAGAAAGGTCGGGCCTCCCAGGCCTTCGGTTTTAGGGATCCCAATTTTATAATATATATATATATATATATATATAGCTGTATATATATATATATATATCTGTGTGTATATATGATCCCGGTTCGGCCGGCCCCCCCCCCTCCCCCCTCCCAATGGTTCCTCCTCCCCCTCCCT